CGCCCGGCCCACCAGCGTCTGCGGGGTCCCCGTCCCGGGCTACTTCCGCCTCTCCCAGGCTTATGGCACCTCCAAGAGCTACGGCGCGGGGCCGGCCGGGGCTGCCCCCTTCCCTCCGCAGCCCCCCGGCCGCTTCCAGACGCCTCCATCTTTGCCTCCCGTCCCGGACGCGGGGAGGAAGGAGGACGAGGAGCGCTCCCCCAGCCCCTCGGCGTGTGTCTCCCAGAGGGAGGACGAGACTCGGGCTTCGTCTTCCACCGCAGAGGAGCTCTCTCCAGCTCCGTCAGAGAGCAGCAAAGCCTCTCCCGAGAAAGAGCCCGTAGGTAAGCGAATGATGATGATGATGGTGATGGTGGTGGTGATGATTTAAAAAAAAAAAAAAAAAAAAAGGAAAAAAAGCAGTTGAGGATCATAGTGGCATCGCGATGCGAAAGGAGGATCCCAGCTGCCCCGCGGGGCTGCCAAGAAGTGCTGCTCAGACTGACCTTCTGAACTTCGTAATATTCGGGCATGGGGTTGCCGTAAAAATTAATGTCCATCCTATAGTTTAAAACCCTTAGAGCCTCCGCTCTGGGCAACTTTAGCCTGCATGCTGCTTAAACATATAGAAAAGCAAGATCAATCTTTCCCCTGTGATGTGAAGGTGCCTACTAGATAACAGAGATGTTTGTAAAGCATCCAAAATAAGCAATAGGCAGTGCCAATAAATAAACCTATTAACGGGGTAAGTTATATTTTACGATCCAGAATGCTTTTCGGAATAACAGCCGCGCTGAAATGTGCCATCTATGAACTGCTATCAAATTAGACTGACGAATGCACCGCGAATATCCTTCAGCGTCTACACTAGATAACAGGGTTGTTATTTATTCATTTGCTTATTTATTTCCCTTTCGGGTCCCCATGGCAAAAAAATAACTCCCCTTCCCTGGGCGGCAGACTTTTCAGGCGCTTCTCTCCGGCCGCATTTCAGAAGCCCTGTTATTCCTTCAGGCGCCTCGTTGGAAAATAATAAGATCAAAACAAAAAAGAAAGAAAGAGGAAAACTACTAGAGAGCCAACCCCAAACCACGAACCACTCCGAGCCATCGAGGGATCGGTGTTACCTCTTTCCCAGCCGGTTCCACTGATAGGAATAAACATCCTGCAACGGGGGATTTTTAATATCTTTTTTTTTTCTCCCCCGAAATGGTTGGAAAAGAGAGGGCCGGGGCGAAGCTCCCCGGGAAGGCAGGGGCTGGAGGCGGGGAGGCTCCGGCTCCCCAGCTCACCTTGTTTTCCGCCCCCAGAGCACACTTACAAAGTTCAGACCCGCAGGCTTTGGTGTTTTGGAAGCAGGTGCCTGGTGGGGGGAAATAAGACCCCAGGCCCTTCACCGAGCCGCCCCCCAGTAACAGTAGGCTCGGAGCGGCCGAGGGCGAGCGGGGAAAAGCCT